TCACAGAACTGAGCTGGTTTGGAACATAGAGAATGGCTTAGAAGAGAATGGCACAGAGAAAGGATGAGAAGATCTTGATCAGTGCTGTCCAATAAATAGGAACATAATGTGATCAACTTAAGTAATTTTAAGTTTTCTAGTAGCCACATTAAAAAGATGAAATTAATTTTAATAATATATTTTACTTAAATCAGCATATGCAAAATATTATTTTAACATCTAATCAATATAAAATTAATGAAATATTTTGCATTCCTTTTTTCATACTAAGTCTTTGAAAGCCAGTGTTTATACTTATTGCATGTCTCAATTCAGATACTAAATTTTCATTGAAAATACTTTAGATTGAGATTACATAAAATATGAAATGGAAAAAGTAGATTTATATATCCACATTACTCTGAACATACTTAAAGGTTTCCCAATAATTGAATTGAGTATCAGTTTTTTAATTTAATTAAAATTAAATAAAATTAAAAATATAGTTCTTCAACTGCATAGCCACATTTCAGGTGCTCAACAGCCACATGTAACTGGTGGCTACTGTATTGGACAGTGCAGATCTAGATCAAGGATAGTGTCTATTCATGGTTGGGTCTAAGGGCAAAGGAGAGGGTAGCACCAGAAGTATGGCATGGTGGGGCTGGCCCCGTGGCCGAGTGGTTAGGTCCGCGCGCTCTGCTTCGGTGGCCCAGGGTTCGGATCCTGGGCGCCGACATGGCACTGCTCGGTAGGCCATGTTGAGGTGGCATCCCACATGCTACAACTAGAGGGACCCACAACTAAAATATACAACTATGTGCTGGGGGCATTTGGGGAGAAAAAAGCAGAAAAAAAAAAAGAAGATTGGCAACAGTTGTTAGCTCAGGTGCCAATCTTTAAAAAAAAAAAGTACAGCACGGAGGGAAGAGGAAGGTGTAAAGGCAGCGTGAGCTCTTTATGCAAGTCGTTTCTGAGGACAGATTTCTCGGGGCCTCAAAGTAAACGAGGTGTGGCTTCCTACAGTAGACTGCCTTCTCTAGCGTGATTGCTGCATAGACTTCAGGTACTCTGGAGATCATTTTGTGGGCTAGGAAAAGGGACTAGCAGTGCTGGTCATATGTGCCATTTCTCAGTAGAATCTTATTGTATATATTGTGGAACAGTCATGGAAATCAGAATCAGATAATTTTCCTATAGAGCAGTGGTTCTTAACTGGGAGTGATTTTGCTCCTCAGGGGACATTTTCCTCCCCCCCCAACACACACACTTGTGACAAGTTTTTGCTTGTCACAATGGAGGATGGTAGTGGCATCTAGAGGGTAGAGGCCAGGGTTACTGCTAAACATCCTGCAACAGAAGACAGCCCCTCACAACAAGGAATTGTCTGGCTAAAAATGTCATTAGAACTAAGGTTGAGAAACCGTGCTCTAGAGGATTTAAGAAAGACTGAGATAGCTATTAGAACCTCAGTTTAACTTCTTGTGATATTACTAAGAGGAGAACAAGTTGTTTTGAAGCGTTTCAAAGTTTCTAGTTGTGTTTTCACTGTTGATGGAGTTTTTGATTAGACTATAAAGAAATAATTTCAGGCACAGGATGAGAATGTAGGCCCATTCATTAAAGATAAGAAAAATAATATGTGCAGTGCACATAAGACTCAATACATCTGGGGATAAGGAGCTGATCTGTTCACCTTTGTATGGCTTGTATCATATGACCCAACTGTCTCAAATATGACGGATGTAATATAATATCAGAATTACTTATCACTTTCTTCTCTTTCCCTATCACCATCTCTTATTTTATCTTTGTTCCTTTCCCTATATCCTTGTTCCTTTCTATTATTCTCTTTTCTTTCCATCCTTTTCTCTTCTGTTTTCTCCCTCTTCACCAATACGCACACATAACTCCTACAACCCCTCCTCCCCAACACTCATCTGTTTCCTCCCTTTATAGCTGTTGGCTCCTCATTCCAAATTACCAGGTCATCACCATTGCCTGTGTCTGAGAGCTGCCCCTTTCAATCACTATTGTCCCCTGAGGAGCAAAATCACTCCCAGTTAAGAACCACTGCTCTATAGGAAAATTATCTGATTCTGATTTCCATGACTGTTCCACAATATATACATATATATTTGTTCCTGAAAAGTACAAACTACAAGTTCTTGCCTTCCTCCAAAAAGAGGGAGGAGCAACGCATATGTTTCTGACATAACTGTTTGTGAAACTGCCTTCCATTTTCAGGGTTCTTTTAGAGCGGGTGCTGTCAATCCCAGGATGTCTCTCTGCTAGGACCCCGTGGTTCTGATTACGATGTCTAACATAGTACATCTTCTCTTCCAATAACTGGCTGTGATGGAACTCGGAGCTCTTCTTTCTAACTGATTGCATCTTCACCATTTTTTTTCTACGGGTTTCTACGGACTTCCTGGTACATTGCCTGCTTCTTCATAGTACTAGCAACTACTTAGATCTTCTTTAATCTCATGCTTCCTTTGCCTTATGCCTGCAGTTATCCCGGGTCCCTCTGGACTTTCTTGTCTATACCACTCCAGGCTATCTCTGGCCCCATATCTTTCTGTACCTCCCTGACTCTTATCATTGCCCCTCTGGTCAACATCAGATGGTGGACACTATGATGGAAATTTGGAATCAACACTAAACCTAAAAAGGGTAGCATCGTCTCTATGCTCCAAACTACTCTTCACTCAGCATTGGAGGGTATACAGCTAAGACTAGAACAATTCTTTGTATAAAACAGGTATTCAAAACTACTACCTGAATAGAATATTCTGTCATACAGAGGATGATAGAAGAAAATCAGTCTGTCATGTCTTTACCAATTTTAGGAAACCTAATATTGTGCTAGCCTCTCTAAATTCAAGGAAGGATAAGAGCAGAAACATGAGTTTCCCGTTTAAAGATTGTGAACAGCTTCTATGCATGACAGTGTTTCTCAGCAAGACTAAAGATAAAGGGGGAAAAACTATCATTCAGTAAGCACCTAACTTTATTTTTTTAAATGAGGATGTTTCTAATACTGAAGATTTAATACTTTACTTTTCTCTTCATGACCATTAAAAAATCTTTTGGGGGGCCGGCCCTGTGGCGTAGTGGTTAAGTTTGGTGTGCTTTGCTTCAGTGGCCTGGGTGCGGACCTACAGTACTTGTCAGCCATGGTGTGGTGGCAACCCACATATAAAGTGGAAGAAGACTGGCACAGACATTAGCTCAGGGCTAAACTTCCTCAGCAAAAAGAGACAAAAAAAAAAAATCTTTGGCTTCAAATGCTGTGAAATATTGTTCAGATAATTATAAATCATAAAAACAAGTATGTGTGAAACTTATTTTAAAAATTTGTATCAGTTGATGTACACGTTAAAAGTAAACACATTTTATTTTTTAAGGAGCATTATGTTCAAAAGACATCAAAGCTCAGTTTATGGTGTTATGAGAAATGATTTAAGATTCATCTTCCAATAGTAGTAGACACAAAAATGATTCTGCTGGTTTTCCTAATCTCAAACAATGTGAAAGCAAGTATGTGCAATTAATGTCTTCAATAAGAGATTAGATCACTTCCTGATTGTTTTGGTGATGGCTATTCCTAGAACCAGTGGTTCATGGCAGTCTGATGGTGGCATAAATTTGAATGTGTTGGGCCTTTGGCCACAATTGCTGTCATGCTATAAAATTCTCTAACTAGGGATGTAAAATCGTTGCAAATACAGGAAATGCTACGGGATATAAAACTGTTGCAAATACATGAAACGCTGGTACATTCCGAAGCCAAAAAGAAAAAAATTGGATTGTTCACTATCTTAAAGTATTGGTGCCCTGAGAGTCCCAGTGTCTCATTAGTATAGGGTATCTGACAGGGGATGCTCCCTTGTAAAGGTAATTCCACTCTTTTTATACAGATGAGCTAGTAATTTAAGCTTTCAATTTAGATTATTAGGTTATTGTATTTACTTCATAATCATCTTCCTCCAATTATAATATGCTTCTTTTTTAAGGCTGAAAAAGTACCATAAAGTTATTATTACTAAATTATTTTCTTTTAGGGTGTTTGTATTCTATCTCCTCTTGTTATTGCACCCTCCTCAGGTGTCTCTTGTTACCTTCCTGAACTCAGAATCACACAGTATCAAAGGTGGAAGGTACTGTGCCAGTGATCAATTTGGACAGCAATGTCCTTTATAACTTAATGCAATGGTAAAAATGGTCTATAATCTGTGCTGTCCAATACAGTAGCTACTAGCTACATGTGGCTATGGAGCACTTGAAACATGACTTATGTCACTAAGGAAGTGAATTTTCCATTTTATTTGAGTTAATTTAAGTTTAAGTTTATATAGCCACATGTGGGGACTGGCTACCATATTGGACAGTGCAGTTCTAGACCAACCTCTCCCCGTCTCCCTCAGTTTACAATGACCTGAAATTCAGAAGAGATTTATCCACAGTTACAAATCCATAACACACTCTATTACCCCCCTTCCCAGCAGCTCCTACTTATCATTTACTGCTTTCCTTTCCACTTTAGTGTTTTCCTTAGCCTCCTGCCTTTTCTGATGGTTTCCTCTTTTTTATCATTGGCAAACAAAAAATTCCACAAAATGATATACCCCCTACTTTAAATAAAAAAAGGATAAATATTTAGGCCATTATATCAGTAATGATGGAAAACAAAGTGTTGTTCTAGCTCTTAATTTTCATCCACTTTAACTTAAAACAACACACCTGGTGGGCCTCTATTATATCATCTGCACTTTACAGAAGGGGAAAATGAAGGCAGAAAAAAATTTCAATGTCTTGCCTCAAGTCATACACTGAATGGTCAAGTAAAAAGGAGCCAGAGCTGAGAGGTAGAATTCATTATCTTTCAATGAGGAAACATGGTTATCTTGGGCTGCAAGGGAGCAGTGTTGTCAATGGACAAGGCTTTCTGAAATAACTCAATTCTTCCCAGGAAACTGAACTAATTTAGAAATAAAATGAAATTTTACTCAGGAAGATTCTCTGGTGCCAGAGAAATTTTTAATGTTGATTGAAGCTTTGCATACATTCAGGATACTCATAAGGTCTCTAAGGTAGATTCTCTTATAACTAATTAGGCCTGAGCATCTAAAGAACTTATTTCCACCATATTAGTAGAGCTTATTTGCTGTATGAATTCTTTGATGTCTAATAAGGGCTGAACTTACTCGGAAGGGCCTCCCACACTCATTACATTCATAGGGTTTTTCACCTGTGTGGATTCTCTGATGCTGAATAAGACCTGTGCGCCCACTAAAATCTTTCCCACATTCTTTACATTTAAAAGGTTTCACTCCAGTGTGTACTCTATGATGTCCAATGAGATGTGAGCGTTGAATGAAGGCTTTTCCACATTCATCACATTTATAAGGCTTCTCTCCAGTGTGAGTTCTCCTGTGTTTACTAAGGTCTGAGCTATGACTGAAACTTTTCCCACAGTCATCACATTTATAGCGTCTTCTTTCCCTCTGTTGCCACTCTAATCTGCCCTCACTTTCAACAGCATCTTTGGATTCAGGATACTGAGAAATGTCTTTGTTGAGTCTGTCATTTATCTTCCCAAGGAATTCCATGTCTTTGAGCATATCTTCCTTTTGGGACAACTCTTCATTCTTAGTCTTGGTTTCATCACCTGTAACAAACAAACAGTATACAAACAGGTCCTATTCTAGGTTTGAGAAGCAAAAAGCCTCTGGAAGAAAGAACATGTAAATGTTATAAATGTTATAAAAAAATGAAAAGTCACATACAATGCACAAATCAGATATTTGGCACCATGGAAATATATATTGATAATACAGGGAAGAAATTAAGAAGAGGCTGATAAGGAAGATAGCAGCAGGATACATTATTTGGGAATATAATAAGAGAGAAAAAGGCAAAAAATGTGGATCCAGTGTTACCTGGCAATCCTGTGCAAAAGGCAGAGTGGTAAATGGTAAATGGGCACTATAGATATGCCAAGGATAATTAAGAGGGATAAACAGGGAGATTAGAGAACAGAGATGAGGAGGAAGGAAAAAGTTTGAAGGGAACATGCAGGGGCCTGAAACAGGTGGTAAGTGGGAGTAAAATTGAGTAAAAGTGACTGGAGAAGATAATGGGATCAGGGAACCTGAGAGGAATGCAATGAGTAGGAACCATCAAAGGAGGGAAGCATGTATGAAGAATAATAATTAGTTAAAAGAAGAGTGAGAACATGCAGGGCAGGATAAATAGAGGAAGGAAGATAAGCCAGAAGTGTCAGTGGATGGTCTGGTGTATGTGCTGAGTTGAATCCTTTTTTCTGGAACTGATGCCTCGCTATCTCTCCTGTCTAAATCCTACAAACTTTATCGTGCATCAGAATCACCTGAATGGCTTATTAAAACACAAATAGCTGGGGTGCTCACCCCCAGAGACTCTGAATTGGTAAGGCTGGAGTAGAGCCCAAGAATTCGCATTTATAACAAGTTTCCTGGTGTGATAGATACTGCTGGTCCAGGGACGACACTTTGAGAACCACTGGCCTAGCTGTTATTCAAGATTGATCTCAAATGCTGTCTCCTCTAGAAAGTCTTCCCTCATCTCCCAAACTGGATGTGCGCTCTCCCTCTTCTTGATCCCCATGTCCTCAACCCCATGCATAGCATACAACTTGGCACATAGCAAGTACTCATGGATTTGTTGAATTGAATTCTATAAGAAAATAGCTGTTTTGGTGATTTGGAGGGATAAAAGGTGTCACCTATTTGGCATGCTGAAACCACCATCTCCACAGACCTAGGAATGCCAACTGTGCAATAATCATTTAATTACAGATAGTTTTCAGTGGTTCACTTGGCATGATGGAAGAAGCAACAAGAGCCACCAGAACATTTCAGTGCCTGGGCTAGGTATGGAAAACACTGGCTCTGGCCTATCTGAGTGCTATGAATTTCACTCTTCATTGTCATCACCATATCCCCTTCCTACCAAATCTTCCTGAATTACCTTCCTCCTTACAAACATTTTTTAACAGGCAACAGACTTTCTCAAAGTTTGGCTATTTGCTCTAAGATGATATTGTTTTGGAATCTACATGCCACATTATCTCTGGCTAGAAATTATAAGGTCTAGAGCCAGAACATCCAGATTCTAGTCCTGGCTCTGCTGATAGTTTTTAAATTTTGGCAGATGATAACCATTTTGGTTTCCTTATCACCACAGTGCCCTCCTCCGTGCCTGTTGTTTGATCAGATGAGGGAATGTATGATAAAGCATTTGTAAAAGTATAGTGTGACCCAAGTATTGCTAAGTTAGTAGGGTAGTAATCATCAAGCAAATTATGGAAATCAGAGGCACCCCATACCATTACGAAGTGTTCTCAAACATCAACCTAATTGGCTCAACAGCTTCTTTTACATACTGGAGTCACTGCTGGTTGGCTTTCCTGTGGCTTATTGATGAAAGTGAATATTAAAAAAAACACAAAACACAAAGAGTTGTCACCATTGGTCACTTCACTGCCTTCACAGTCCTTAAGATGAGTCTCTCTCCCACAACTTCAGGAGAAAGCTGGAGAAAAATCTCTCACCAGGACATTAAAAGACTTTTTTTTTTTTTTAAATACAGAGTCAGTTTTCCTTGGTCAGCAATTCAAATTATAACCCTCTCCCTTAGATCTGTGATTGAACAATGTAAAGAGTATTATATGGAAACTGTCAAATGTGACCTTTTCTCATCTCAGGGACTGCAGTCTACTTCTTGGCCAACTGGGGTTTCAGGGCCTTGTTGATGTGTCTCTTCCAAGTGCCAGCTAGTGCCAGGCTAATAGGATTGCAAGAGACCTTGTTTCAGAACCAACAAAATTAGGAATATTTGGTTCTAGCATCTTCTGCCAGAGCTGTTCTTCCAATGTTATTTTGGCACATGTAATACCAAGAGTCCTTATCAGTTACAATTCCAGATAAGTCCAGTCCTGCTGGTCACTGAGATGAGGATAAGTCCACAAAGACCATTTGATTACTGTGTGTATGACTTGCTTGACAGTCTAAGGGGAGAAAGGACAAAGTTAAATAACGAGTGAAGTGAAATTGGAACAGAGTTAAGGAGACTATCACTCATTGCTAGTGGAGAGAGTCAGTGTTGTGGGTTAGTAGATTAGCATGTCCAAAAAGTTCCCTTTGAAATACTTCAGAATGTTACACAGAATTGCAAGATACTCAGCTCTCCAAGTTCTTCTGTCATATGTAAAGATAATTCTGTATTAAGTGACTACTATTACAATTCCCAGTTATATTTATAGAGACGAGTCCCGTTACCCTAGCCAACAGCTAATACTATACAATCTTGCTGGTATGGATACAATGAATTTTTTTAAACAAATACTGCATAAAAAAGAGACTAACAATAAATTTATTTTTAAAAGATACTGGCTTTTTGGTACATTATCCTGATGGCTATTGAGAACTGTTTTGGACTAGCAGGCAGGAGCGCCAGGTTTTGATTGTAATCTCACCTCTGCCTCTAACTTCTATGGAAACTTGGACAAGGCACAACCACTGTGGGTATGCTTCCTCAACTGTAAAATGAGGATTTAGACCAGATATTACATGCTTTTAATAAAGTTGAGAGGCACTTTTTGAAATGTATGTATTGTGATTTATGCAGGGGTTTTCTTGGGGGGTGGGTATTGTTTTGGTGGGTTTTGTTTGTGTTTTGCTTGTCTATTTCTTGTGGTGGTGGGGACACAGATAAAAATTATGTAAAGTTGCTGGTGGTGTACCTTAGAAAAAAAGTCCTATTTATACTGTTCAATGTAGACAAAATGGACTTCCCTAAGAATTCTCAGGCCTCACAGGATAGCTAGATTTCATTAAGCATCTTTCAGTAGATTAGGTTAAGAAAAGACTATTTATATTTTAACTGTATGGTATTCCCTTGAAAAGTTAGCAGCACATGTGTAAGCCTGTACAATTTTAGGTATAGGAGGAGTGCATTTTTCTGGACTTAGGCTAACAGGAAACAGAGTGAAAATAGTCCAGAAGTGTTTATAAAAAAACAAGGAAAGACCATCTAGAATTTAAAGTTTTGCCCAAACCATTAGTCATAATCAGTACTTTTCTGTGTTCTACATGGTAAAATTAATTTAGCATGTTGACATGTTAAATTATTATTGTGACCTATTTTACGAGCCTATGTCCTGTCTCCTCCCAAAGGTGGAGAGAGAAGTTTCTTATTTTATGCCTCCTCACAGAAAAGAGGTGAAGACTGTACATAGTTAAGCTTACTAAAGCTTATTAAAATGGTCTGCATCTTTTAGCTTCTGCCTCAAAATATTCTTGCTAAGACTACCATTAACTTCTAAATGCCAAATTCAGTGGACTCTTATCCGTCTTTATCTTGTGTCCTATTAGCATTGGCTACAGCTGACTTCTCCCTTGTCTTCAGTGACACCACCTTCTTTGGCCTCACTTAGCTGTATGATAGTCCCTGCTCTATATCCTTCCAGAATCCTCTTCCTCCACCCAAACTTCAAATGGTAGCATGCCTCAAATTTTGCATGTGGCTCCCTTCTCAGTTTACTTTATACATTCTTTTTGGTCAACTCATCTACACCCATGTCTTTTACCATCTACCCAGCGATGACTCCCAAATTTTAGAACCATATTTTAAACTGCATCGCCTGCTAGATTTTATTTACTTAGATGTTTCACAGGCACTGCAAATCCACATGTATAAAAATTGAGTTCACTCTAACTCTTCTTCACACAGATACATCCTTCTTCTCATATTCCTCTCAATTACTGACACTATTATCTACCAAGTTGCCCAAGCCATAAACTCAGATTATATTAAAAATACAGCCCCCCGTCCCGCAATATCCCATCAGATCTGTTCACTGTACTTACTAAATATCTCTTGAATTTTCCCCTTCCTTTCTCTCCAGTCTTATTCTCACTCTGGTTCACCAACCTCTATATTTGAGAGTGGTCTCCTCCCCAAGTCCCTTGTGTTTATCTTTTCTCCCTACTATAGTTGTGTGCTCATGCACTTACAAACTTTGGAAAATAGAGAAGAAGAAAATAAGTCATCTGTGATTTCATTATTTTGAAATAACCTTTGTCTACATTTGGAGATAACCCTTCCAGTCTTTTCTTTTAAAAAAATGGAATCATGGACAGTGATTTTTAAAAACACAAATCTGTGCCACCCAGTCCTCTATGTAAAATAATGTGACACCTCCATCTGATAGCATGAAGTTCTGGTATTTAAGAATCTTCACACTAGCGTTTGACTTTCCCTCCCACAAAATTTCTCCATGTCAAAATTAAACTCAGAGCACTTGCTGTTCTTAGAATATGTTATGCTTTTCTTTTACTGTTCTCTCTGCCTGGAATGTTCCCCCTTCCTACGCTTACCGTCTCAGCTCAAGCAAACCTACTCTGTGATACCTTTTCAGGCCAGACACAGGGATAGCTATCTTTTTCTCTGTGGCTCACAGTATATTGTAACTGCCCACTTCTCTGCTTCTTGAAGAACTTAAGTGTCTTATCTTTGTGTTTCTTACCTCTAGCATGGTGCCTGGCGTATAGCTGCTACTCAACAGATGTTTAGTGAAAGAGGAATGAATGAACAGAACAGGGGGTCTCAATCTCACCTCTAAAGCCAACCAATAACCAACCCTTCACTTTAAAGCACTAAAAGACTCCTTTAAATTACACATAATTGAATGCTAGGCTTTCCAGATGTAAGCTAGGAATCTCTTAGCTTAAAATAATTTTTCAGATTAGACAAATCATCTGGCAGGGATCTTAGAGAATGAGAGAACCATAATGGTAAAATTTATAGTAGTGAGAATGGAATCCAGAATAGGCCAGAGTATAACATACTGCTCAGGGGAGGCATTATGGACATGAGAGCCTCTAGAGAAAGGACAGCGAGCACTGAAAAGAGTAGAGTTTGGGTAAATTAGGATTTAAAGTTTGTCTGCTTTTTAGTGTAGCCTGGGGATACACTAGACACCCTGGTTTTTAATTAGAGAGCTGATTAGTGGGATAGGGGAGCAAACCACAACCAAAACCCAGTTAACCTGACATGCAGAGAAACCAAAAAAAAAAAAAAAAATGCCTGCTATACTTAGTGATTCCTGCTCTCTCTTCCTTACTTCTTTCACCATGGGGGATATTATGCACTGAATTATGGACCCCAAAATTCATATGTTATAGCTGTAACCTCCCAATATGTGACGATATTTGGAAAACGGGCCTTTAAATAGGCAATTAAGGATAAAAGAGGTCATAAGGTTGGGGCCCTAATCCAATAGGACTGGCGTTCATATAAGAGGAAGAGATACCAGGACTTCACGTGCATAGAGAAAAGGCCATGTGAAGACACAGTGAGTCTGCAAGCCAAGGAGAGAGGCCTCACCAGAAACCAACCCTATTGGCACCTTTGATCTTGTACTTTCCAGGCTCCAGAACTGTGAGAAAATAAATTTCTGTTGTTTAAGGCACTCTGTGGTATTCTGTTCTGGCAGCCCTAACAGACTAATACAGGGTATCATACAAATTCTCCTGCTCAAAATGGAAATTTAAGGGAATTTGACACTAGAATCATCAGATAGCAACAGACAGAGGTATAAGGTATTATTAACTTGAATGACTAAATCCTACCCCCACCTGTTGGGCCAAACAGCAGCTTTTAAGTCTAATGAAAAACTAAAATATAATTCTTTCCATGATGGGCCAAGGGTAGGAAGGGGAATAAAATCTTCCACAGTGAAGTGGAGGACAAGCAGGAAAACTTGAGAAGGAGAAGATAAAAGTGAGAAAGCTCCTCTCTAACCTGAGGAATCACCTCTTCCCTCATACACACAGAACTCTTGCTCCTTACCATTCCTTTGGGGCGCCCCAGATTCTTGCTCCTGCTGGGTCTTCTTGGGATGGAGCTGGACAGTCAGTGACTCATGTGGCCTTCCCAAGGGGGCCAACTTGTCCAAAAGTGTGTCCTGTCTTTCTGAATTGGCTGGGACCTGGGAACAATGAAGTATGATTGGGCTTGCAAGGTAGATTTTATGAAAGGACTTCAGAGGAAAGATCAAAAGAAGCATCTGCCAGAGACCAGGGACATAGAAAAAGGGTCAAAATTTCATTTGCTTGCAAATGGCTATAATGACTTAAAAAGAAGAGACAGAGGCTAATCTCTACAGTTCAGGACACTGGAGAGTGAAATTCAGTGTCTCTTCTCACAGTGATCTGCAGAGGTCCAAGATCATAGTCTTGGGACTTAAAAGGTATCTTAAAAATCATCTAGCCCAACTTCCTCCAAATGGGGGCATTTCTTCTCTGTGTCGTCCAATATGATAGTCACTAGCAAAATGTGGTTATTGAGCACTTGAAATATGGCTATCACAAACTGAGATACATGAAGCGTAAAATACACACCAAATTTTGAAAACTGAATACAAAGAAAAGAATGTAAAATACTTCATTTTTTATATTGATTAAATATTTTGGGTTAAATAAAATATGTTTAATTTCACTTTTTAAAAAAATGTGGCTACTGGAAAATTTTAATTACATATACATGACTCACATTAGATTTCTATTGGACAGTGTTGTTCTGTAATATCCTTGACATCTACTTGAACCCCAACTTGAATACTCCTATGGAAAGGGAGTTTTTTAAAATAAAGTAGCCTATTTTATTTATAGGTAGCTATGAATGTTAGAAAATTCTTTGTTTTCCTCTGATACCTATTTGCATTCCTGTAACTTCTCACTGATTCTAGTCTTCCAAACTGACATAGAATCAGTCTAGTGTCTCTCTTTACTCAGCCACACTTTAATTATTTGACCCTGGCAGTCAGGTGCCTCCCTAAGCCTTGTTCCTCTCCAGGGTAACATATTAAACTCCTTCTGGTGTTCTTTCATACGTCTTTTGCTTTGGCCTGGTTCAGATACCCTGATCTCTCACAACCAAATGACTGCCCCCTTCCCACCTGCTTTCGAGGTTCATCAAGCTCTCTCTCCAGATCCTCCAGCACAGTCACCGCCTCCTCTCCAGTCTCTGGATGGTGCGCCTGCACCCATGCTTGCAGTTCCCTAGGAAGAATGCTCAGGAATTGTTCCAGCACCAGCAGGTCTAAAATCTGCTCCTTGGTGTGGTATTCTGGCCTCAGCCACTGGCGGCAAAGCTCCTGGAGCCGAGTGAGAGCTTCACGGGGGCCAGGTGCATCCTGATAGCAGAGCTTCCTGAAGTGCTGCCTGAAGAGCTCCCTTCTGTGAGGACTGTACTTTTGTGAGATGGAGTGCTGTCCCCAGTAAGGGTCTTCTGCCTTGACTATTAGAAGTCCTTTTTGTTCCTCAGGTTCCAGGGCTGTGGCCATTCTGGGCAGTTTTTCAGGCGATTAATCTCTATCTGGGATTGATTCAAGGAGAATTTCTTAGAATCTTGTCTCAGAGAAAAAGTTGTTACCATAGAGAAATAAAAGCTGCTGTGAACATAAACACACACTAATGAAGGCAGGCAATCAGAGTTGAACAGAAAAAATAGTCTCATAGGAGGCTGTCAAGAACGCTGAAGCAGGGACACGGGTGTGAATCTGTGTTCTACTGTGTAATTTGGAGCAAGTTACTTATCTAGACTAGAGCTACAGATCCTCATCAGTAAAATTATCATGTTTCTCATAGGATTGATGTGTGGATTAAATGAGAACGTATGCAAAGTCCCTGGCGTGGCAGCTGGCACTAGTAAGCACTATATAAACGCTAAGTATTAACAGCTTTGTTAAAAGGCTCTTTCATTCCGCATTCTGAGACGCGAGGGTCCGTCCGATTCAGTGGTTGTGGGGTACGTGCGCCAACCCAGGAAGGGGGTTAGATGGCTATCTCCGCAGAGCAAATCGCTTTCACTCCATCCTCTCCCGGAAGGTCGGCCCCAGATCTCTCTTGTAAATCTGTCGGAGGCGGGGAGGGGTTGCTGCTGACAACTATGCCCTGCCCCCTCCTCTGCTCCACCCAGCATGGGGGAGAGACTCACCTCACAAGCGGAGAGGAACAGGTGCGAAAGCTAGAGTCCTTTGGGCAGCACCAAACAAAAGGCTCGACTCAAACCGACCAATCGGCGCCCTGCCCCTGTCAGCCGGGCACTTCCGGGCCACTCTAGGAAGCCTCGCCTCGGTGGCGGCGGCCGGGCTTCCCTCAGCCCTAGCGGGTGGAGGACCTGGTTCCTGTGCGTTTAACTGATGGGGTTGCGGGGCCCGCAAGCACCGCTTCTTTGCTCTTTTTAGAAAACTTTTTCCATCTCAAGACTTTTTTTCGGTTTAATTATTAAGTAATATGAATAATGTATTCACATGGTTCAGTATTTAAAAAGAAGAAATGTCCCCATCTGGTTTTGATAACCAATGTTTTTCGTGACATATCTAAGTATATATGGTTCTGTAAATATATCACGCAGATATTTATTACCCTCGCTTTTTTCTCCCCTACACAAATGGTAACATTTCTGCACCTTGCTTTTTTCCCTCCTACCAATTGATTTTGGAGATTGTACATAAAGGGCTTCCTCGATCTTGCTCTTTTTTCTTTTTTTAAACAATTGCTTAGTATCCACTTGTTTATATGTGCCATCATTTATTAATAATTACCCCATTGATGGTCATGTAGGTTGTTTCCAGTCTTTCCTTTTTCAAAAGCTGCTGAAATAAATTACTGTGAACATACATCATTTCTCATGTGTAAGGATATATCCATAGGATGTATTCCTAGAAATAATATTACTAGACAGAGTAGGGGCATTTGTACTTTTGTTAGTGCCAAATTACCAGTCATAGAACTTACTCGCGATATTGCTTACCTATACTTGTCAACACGTTATAAAATATTTTGATCTTTGCCAATCTGATGGGTGGGAAATGCTTATTTTTTTCTCCTGCTCTCCCTTTCTGACACAAATATTGATTATTCTTACTATGCCAGCCACTGTTCTGGAAGCTGGAACTATAGTTTAAAGCAAAATAATGCCCTTGCCTTCGTGGAATTTATAATTTAGCATGTGTGTGTGTGTGTGAGGTGGGGAGGCAGGCAATAAACAAGAAAAATATAGAGTGTATTAAAATTAATGTGTCCATACCCCTTGAGCTAGCAACTTAATTTCTTGGAATTATCCATGTAGAAATACTTATACAAATGTTTGAACATATATACAAACAACACTGTTTATTTAAATTGGGAAATCCAAATGTCCAACATTTCGGAATTTAAATTTCTATATGTCCAATCATTTTATTTTTTACAATTGTTGCCTATCTTTTTTTTTTTTTAATGCTTTATCTCCCCAAATCCCCCCTGGTACATAGTTGTATATCTTTGTTGCAGGTCCTTCTAGTTGTGGCATGTGGGACACTGCCTCAACATGGCCTGAGGAGTGGTGCCATGTCCGCATCCAGGATCCAAACCAGCGAAACCCTGGGCCTCCGCAGTGGAGTGCGAGAACTTAACCACTCGGCCACGGGGCTGCCCCAATCATTTTAAAAACTAGAAACTAAAAGATGCCAAAGGCATATTGAGTACAAAAAGTAAATTACAAAACAGTATGATATGATGGTTTTTGTAAAACAATTATCTTAAATATGTTCTCAATGATTATCACTTGGGGTAAACTTACAGAGAACTTGTAATTTATACATCATATATTTCCGTAAAATTTTAATTTTTTACAAAAATTTGCTACTGGTGTAAACAGGAAAAGATAATTGTTTTAAAACCCCATTTATTCTTCACAACCTACAAACAGTTTTCGTTTGGTGGATGTCATCAATATCCCTTTTCCCTGTCTGAAATTCTTTGCCTGACAAATCATCTTGTCAAAGGGTATAACTCCTTTAGGATGAAAATCAGATCCAACTTCTCTGTGCTTCTGAAGGGCAATTATAAATGATCAAGTAAACCTGGTGGAACATTTAGGTAGTGTAGAAATAAATAACTTCCAAGTAAGCTTTAGAAAACTCTCCTCTCTGGGGAGAAAAATTTAGAAAAAGGATAAGCTCTGTCTGCTCTTCTTTCCAACAGAAGTAAATGATCAAAAGCCAGAGCCCCTTCCTTTCACTGTGACATAACGTGTCCCTCATAGCCAACTGAGCAAATTAAAAATCCAGATAATGCTTAACTATTTCCTGCTGCTCGTTTAGTGCATCGTTCACAGTCAGCATGTTTCTCCCTCCTTATCTAAAGTCTTGTTACATCAAATTCTCTTATCAGCTTTTCAGACAAACCCTGCTACAGCCCAGAAAATTCTTCAGGTATGCCCCTGGCTTCAGTTGCTCATCAACTTCAGAGAATCAACTCACCAGAGCCTTGGAGCACCTGGTGGTGGTAACTTGAGTGGTTGCACACCAGACAAAATGAGGCTTCCAGCCACTGTCACAGATCCTGTTATAATCCTAGCCCTGCTCTGGGCTTAGGTATGTCCTTCCTCTACTTGGGTAGAGCCTCTCTGACCTCTTCACTAAGGCATAAGCAGTCTGGTGTATGACAAGCAGGGCCCTCTTCTTCTGCCCTGCTGTCTATATTTTCCAAAACTACCCAAAAAAAACCCCCAAAAACCACTAGTGGACTGTTTTAAAAATAACAGTACTTGGTAGGTGTATTTTCTCACTTCCTCTCATTAGTTAAAAAGAAAGAAAATAAATGAACTAAGCATTCAACTCAAGAAATTCGAAAAAGAATGAGAAAAAAACCCCAAAGGGAAAGATTAGAAAACAAATAAAGATAAAAGCAGAAGTAAGTGAATTAGAAAATAGAAAAATAATCACATTAATAAATAAATCCAAGAATGAAATCTTTGTATGCAAGCCCATAAAAACAACAAATAAAACAATAAACCTATGGTAAACCTAGTTGAGAGAAATATTAAAAATTATAAATGATAATAGCAGATGAAAAGATGCTATCAAAATTTTTTTAAATCTCAATGAAATTGGTGATTTTCTGGGGAAAAAAACCATTAGTTCCAAAATTCATTCAAGAGGTAGAAAAATCTATATAAACCAATCCTAAAGGAAACAACTGAAAAAGTTATCAAAGAATCATCTCCAGAAAGACTTGGATAATTCTGTAGCATTTTCATTTTTTATGAGTACTTACTACATGTGTACGATGGATTCTTTCTAACTTTTCCATCTCAAATGTACAGAGATGTAGAAAGGGGAGAATCACTCCACTTTCATCATCTAAATTAACAGTCACTGTTGACATTTTGTTGTCATTTACTTCCAATGTTTAATATTTTTAATCTATTTTACACAGTTGTGATTGTATTCTAAAAGCACTTTAATAGGCTGTTTAACATTTTAATGAAAACTTTTCATTTTGTTATAAGCTTTTTATAAGAATAATTATATCTACACACTGAGATAATCGTATGTTATCTTACAGAAGAGTTGGAAAGTTTACGTGAGCTAAATAAGGTGCTTGCTACTACTGTTATAGTTTGCAAACAGCTTTTCCTTTTGCATATATCCTTCATTTAATTTATAATGGGTATTACTATCTCACAACATACTGTTTCCTCTTTAGGGGGAATAGACAAGCCAGATGCCTCCCATACGAAGGCCAAGAATATATTATTGCTCCTCCAGAGAATGCTGCTTGGTTGGTTTTGCTAAGAAGGTGGAGTCCAGGCTGATCAGAGTTCAGTAAGTTGGGGCCTAGAGTGGTAAAGAGAGGTGTCCTGTGTCTCAAAATTCAGAGACCCATGCAGGGCCAGGATCCTCAGTGGTACAAAGCAATAGTAGTGAACTCAGATTTGGATTAGGATCTTTTATATTAGGCATTTGGCCTACATGGCATAGAAATAAAGAGTTGATTATTACTCTGAAGTCACTGAGGTCAATGATCAAAAGAACAAGTGCTCCAGCCTCCATAAACCCTCAACCTCCCCCTCAAGTTTCTTTAAAGGTTGCTTTTTCACTTAATGTTTTCACTAACTTTGCTTCCATTTCCTTTGCAGTTTGTTTTTCTGGCATCTCCAACCTTTCCTCTTTCCCCCTAACTCCTCTTTGCCTTTCTTCCCTTTTTCTTAACTGCTTTTTCTTTTCCCCTCTCCTCCCGCTCCCATTCTGGCCTCATCTTGCTGCTTTCCCACAACTCTCCTATTACTAACTGCTTCAAATTTCAGTGGTTCTCTTGCCCAGTTGAACCTCTGCTTTTAGCCCTAGGTTTTTTCACTGTAACACTGAATGTTGACTCACTTCAAGTGTGTTTTGTTTTTCATCTCACTTGAAGAACTAGTCTCTAAGGATTTGGCTAGAAGCTATTACAGTAGATTTTCAAGAGATTACTTATAAATTCTGTTTAAGGAGAATTTTAAAGTGGCTTTCTTCTACCTTCAGCTGCTCAAAGAATACATTTTTAAATTTATTTTTTAATATAAATCTTCAAACTTTTGTTAGCAGAAAACCATTTGGTCATAAAAAAATCTTATTTGGGAGGTCATATATAAAACTAACTAAAGTGAAGTTGTTTTGGTGGTGAGGGACCTAGAGCCCTGAAGCCCCTCTAAGAAACCCTTAGGGCAGGGGCAGGGTTCACACAGGTGAAATGAATGGGGGGGGTGATATAAGACAATAGGGAGCTGTGTGGCAGTGGGGACCATGTCCAACTGGAGAGTACTGATAATCAGCTCATGTCAACTGTTGCCATGTGGGGAATGTGGTGCCTAATATTGCCACATCATGCACTTTTGTAAAAGAATCTGGAAAGTCAGATTTCATGTGAAATCTCCAGATTCTTAAACAGTTGTGATAATTTTATATTACCAAAAAAACCCATGTGGAAAAAATGCATGTACAGGCCAAACACAGCCCATCCAGCCTGTTTGCCATCTCTGATTTAAGTTGTGAAAGGTCACTGGGAACTTGCATGATAAATCTTACTCCACTCCCACTGAAGCATCCTACCCACACAAATCATAATTCATTCCAATACTACAAAATGGCTTTTGTATTTCACAATGTTTTTAGTGTAGATAATTGATAGGTTAATGCATTTCATCAAGTTAACCAAAAATTCAGGTTTTTCTTTTCCCGTGCAGGTCAGATATTAACTCTAAATTCCCACTCTAGACAAGACTATTATCCCAACTCCAAAGAAAATAGAGGAGGAGAAAAAGGGAAGGGGAAGAGGAACAATAGTAATCTCTAAAATCTCCAGTAATATATCTAATAGAACATTTAGATTTCCTGAGCCACTTGCTTCAGAGAAGAAAGTTTGAGAATAAGGAATGAGCCTTTCCAAAGTCCCAGTTCAGCAGATGGTGTGCCTAGGGGCAGAACATCACAAAGTACTGTTTGGCAAGCCATATATCTCAGCTCCATATGTATTTTCAAATGACTGCTGAAATTACAATAGTGAATGCAGAGTTCCCTAGATCATTGTAATGGCAGCATCCTTTTCTAGTTTTGCTTTTCTGATGTTCCACAGGAATGAGCATAGATAAAAAATTCTGCACCACTCTTGACATCACCAGGGCTTCCCTCCAGTGTGGATTCGCTGATGTACAATGAGGTGTGAGCTCCGCCGGAAAGTCTTTCCACACACACTGCATTTATAGGGCTTCTCTCCAGTGTGGATTCTTCGGTGTCCCAGAAGATGTGAGCTGTTACTGAAAGCTTTTCCACACTCATTACACTCATAGGGCTTTTCTCCACTGTGGATTCGCTGGTGTCCAACAAGAGCTGAACTATGACTGAAGGACTTTCCACACTCATCACATTCATATGGTTTCTCCCCACTATGGATTCTTTGGTGATGGAAGAGGCCTGAGCTCTGGCTGAAGCTTTTCCCACACTCACTACACTGGTATGGCTTCTCTCCAGTATGGACTCTCTGATGTTGTATCAGATATGAGCTCAGACAGAAAGCTTTCCCACAGAATTTACACTGGTATGGTTTCTCTCCTGTGTGGGTCCTCTGGTGTCGAATAAGGCCTGAGCTGTAATGAAAAGCTTTCCCACACTCATTACATTGGAAAGGTTTTTCTCCAGTGTGGGTCCTTTGATGCTGAACAAGGTGTGAACTGTAATAAAAGGCTTTCTCACACTTATCACACTGATATGGTTTTAATCGGCTATGTATTTTCTGATGGTCAATAAGTTGTGAGCTCTGAGTGAAAGTTTTGCTGCATATATTACACGAATAGGGTCTCTTTGCAGTGTGGATTCTTTTATGTCTTATGAGGCTTGAGTTTTGAGTGAATCTTTTCCCACATTCATCACACTTATATCTTCTCTCCCTTGAAGTGTTTCTCTGATATCTTTCATGTTTTGGGGTTTTTCCACGTTTAGGAACCTCTTCATTGATTTGGCCAGATACCTTTTCTTGGGATTCCACAGATACAGTAAGTTCCTGCTTTTGAATCGATTCTCCTTCCTCAATTCTGATCACATCATCTGACATAAAAAGTATAGAATTCAAATGTCATTGAAACATATAGGGAAAAAAATTAAACAAATATACTAGATGTACACAGCTTAAATATACCACCAAATTGGTTTTACAACATTTAAGGAGGAAATTGGGAGATGGCAAATGAAGAGAGGACTAGCAGTGGCTGGACTTGGAGGATGTGAATCAAGAAAGGAGTGGAGAAAAGTCAGGGAGGAGTAACAGTGATCATAGTAAACAGAAGAAGGAAAGCTCTCAAACAAGAATGAGTTCACCAGGGAAGGCTAAAAGTTGAGTAGAGAGGGATGAAAGAACAGAAATTGTGGGAGGAACAAAAAGAGAAAGGAAGCTGACAGTGGCAGGAACCAAGCTGGAGCCATGAAATAACTCTGTACAGGTTGCTCTGAAGGCCTCTGGGAATATCGAAAAATGGGAGATCAGAGCACAAAGAAATATCCCATTTCCAAATATGGAGAACAAAGAGATTAGAGTTTAGACATATGGAGCAAAAGAGAATGTTATCCTGTGGGGACAGACAAAAACTGCTTTGGCCCCCAAAGACTTTCATTACTCTTTTTGCAAAGGAGAACACTGGGAATCTCTCAAGACTAAAGCTATACTCTGTGGGTTATTCGAGACTTCTCAAGCAGTCATTGACACAGAGAAGATAAATAGACCCTAGACTCCTTTCTGTCCTTACCCAAGGAAACGATGTTCCTATAATTCCTCTGCCTGTCTTTCCTACAGAGGTTCCTCTGAGCAGAAGCCCAACACCCCCATTCCTCCAGAGTGGGAAATGGGACTATTTCCTCAATGGTCAATAATTTCTGAAAAAAATTTCAGGAATTTTTTGAGTGGGAGCGAGGTTGTCCCACTCAAGGGATATTCTCCCTGAAGTAATCCCATTTTAGGACCCAGAGAGAAGGGCAGAATTTGTAACCATGTAGAATAATGATAGGGAAAAGTGATATGCTTTGTGTGGATAAGAGACATTAAATGGAAAAAAAAAAAAAAAAAGGAAAAGATAACTATGGAGACAATTGAAGAACCAGGATGCCGAATGAGTCAGACTAACTCTAGGCAGAGGCACTGGATTGACTGTTCCAAAATGAGTTGGCTAAAGAGACCCTGGAATGAGGCAAGAGAAGCCATGGTCAAAGAGCCGATTCGCGATCTCTGAGAGTGTGGATGAGGGACAAAGCTCACTGGCAACTTGTCTGAGAAAAGTCACAGCCACCTCTGAGTCTTGGGGTTCCTATTCTGTGAAGGGCAGAAACCCAGAGATAAACCAGAGCTGAGAAAGAATGTTGGCAAGAGTAAGATGAGCCTCTCCTCAGGCGCTCCTTTTAGGACAGGGGCCTGCAGTGATTTCCAGCTTGCCACACTGGTTTAAAAGCTCTCATTGTGAGTGGTTATATAAGGTTATCTTAAAGTTTTTGGGCAGTTTAAAACTTTATGTTATAGCTACCCCAGATATATCTGTGTGCAGAATTTAAAGGAAAATTACACAAAGATACACATTTATGCAAGACCATAGTCTTTTAGAGCCATTAACAAATAAAAAGTGCCTAATAAGGATGGAATCCAAAACAGCATTATACCTATAATAGAACTAAAATCCGTATCAGCCTGAGAAGGAAATTTATGGATTATTATAAAAAAAGAAGCACAGTATAGAAACTCCATTTCTAGCTGACTAAAAAAGTTGGGGAAAATGATGTACTTCTACTTAGGATGGCATACTGAGTTCATACTTCATCTCCAAATACGTAGAGTGATAGATAAAAAATAAAAATTAATTGAAAAACACATCTGTGCTAAAAAATAAGATAAACATCCCTGTGGAACAGAAAGGAAACAAAAATAGAGAATGTGGCTACAGTTGAAGATGTGGGCGTGCTGGGCTCCAGGGAGTGATTGAGATCTTAGCCCCAGAGGGAAATGGGAGACTAAAAGTGCTCTATGAGAGGGGGGGCTGATTGATGCCAGAGGCTGGACGGGACATGCAGGCACACACATACACAAGCACCCAGACATATGCAGAGAAAGATACAACCCTGTGAGCGAGAATTATGTCAAGCCTCCTAGAAGCCTGTGACTACATTGGTGACATCTGCTATCACATGAAACAAGAGACCTAAGACTTGGTTCTGGGGAGCCAGGTGAGAGTAACAACAGCATTCCTAAACAAGGAAGGAGAGAATATAAAACAGATCAGAAAGAACTCAAAATGAGTCTAGAAATGAAAATTTCAAAACTTATGAATGTATTGCTATGAAAGATGGTTAACAAAATCACCAATTTAAACATAAATTCAATCCAGATAAAATTACTTTCATCAAAAAACCTGGGGCTGGCCCTGTGGCCAAATGGTTGAGTTCCCATGATCCACTTCGGCATCCCGGGGTTTTACCGGTTCAGATCCTGGGCGCGGACATGGCACTGCTCGTCGGGCCATGCTGAGGTGGCATCCCACATAGCACAACTAGAAGGACCCACAACTAAAATACACAACTATGTACCGGGAGCTTTGGGGAGAAAAAGGAAAAATAAAACCCTAAAAAAAAAAGCACCTGAAAAAATTAGCAGATTAAAGATACCTAAAAGAGATAAATAATGACATACCATCCATGGCAAATAAACAAAGAATTGTGAAATAAAATAAGGAAAAATGAAATAAGCATAGGTGATATAAAAACTGTAGAGAAATTTTAGAAATCGATAAACTGGAGACAGAAGGATAATAACCTGAAAGATAATTGAAGAGGAATCCACTAGGATGTACCACAGAGACAGAAAGACATAAGATATATGAAAAAGCAGTTAAGTGAAATGAATAAATTAATAAGTAGGTTCTAATAGTGTCTTCTGGGAGTTCCAGAAGAAAATAACATAAGGAATAAAAAAGAAGCACTATTTAAAGAACTGATGGCTGAGAATTTCCTAGAATTGAAGAAAAACATGGGTTCTTGGAGCAAACGTGAACTTATAGACTAAACAAGATGAACAAAAATAAAACCATATCAGAATACTTCTTTCTTTTTGGTAGGGAAGATTGGCTCTGAGCTAACATCTGTTGCCAATCTTCCTCTCTTTGCTTGAGAAGACTGTTGCTGAGCTAACATCTGTGCCAATCTTTCTCTGTTTTATGTGGGATGCTACCACAGCATGGCTTGGTAAGTGGTGGTAGGTCCTTGCCCAGGATTGGAACCTACGAACCCTGGGCCACCTAAGTGGAGCATGGGAACTTAACCACTATGCTACCAGGTTGGCCCCCAGAATACACTTTTTAGTGAAACCTCATAAAGGTTAAGAGTAAATCTAAAAGTTACTAAAGAGTAAAGATGGAATTCCTAAAAAAAAGGTATTTAGATTGACAGTCTTTTTTTTTAATTATTCTCCCCAAAGCCCCCCAGTACATAGTTGTAGATTCTAGTTGTGAGTGCCTCTGGTTGTGCTATGTGGGACGCCGCCTCAGTGTGGCCGGATGAGCAGTACCATGTCCGTGCCCAGGATCTAAACCGGCGAAACCCTGGGCCGCCAAAGTGGAGCGAGTGAACTTGGCCACGGGGCTGGCCCCAAGACTGATAGTAGTCTTTTAATAGCAAACAATAGAAGCTAGAAGACAGTGAAGTAGTATCTTCAAAATGCTGAAGAAAAAAAAAAATTGTCAATTAGAATTTTATCCCAGCTAAACCATGATTAAAAAGGGAGGATAAAATAAGGGTAGACATGTAAAGACTAAGTCTACCACCCAAAGAACCTCACTAAAGTATGAATTTCATCAGAGTGAAAACCCAGAGGAAAGGTGTTGGCATACAAAAATGGTGGCTCAGAAATGGGCAAAATTTGTCAGAAAATTTAATTAACAATTTATGATTAAAGAAAAAGAATCTATTTCATATTTTAAAAAGAAACTGGTTCCTATGAGTGACCAATTATAATCTAGGGGGCCTGGGTTTGATCAAAAGTCTAGTTCCCCAGTTATAGGGGAAGAATTTCAAAAAGACCATGAAAATAATGGAATTTAAATTCTTCTGATATTGCCTTCTTTAGCAAAATAAAGGTTCAAGTCACTGTGCTCTCAGGGTGTAATTAATCCCAAGGGAGGTTTTTAAGGGTAGTTTAATAGATGTAGACCAATATTTGACTTTGCTGCTACTAGACCTCTTTACAGGGACTTAAAAGAGGGGGTTTATTCAAGAAATCAAGCTCCTTAGTGGAACTTAGAATCAAGGTCATTGCAACCATGTATTATCTAGTGACTAGATGATCAGATGCCCACCCTATACTCAATTTCTACAGTAGCTCTATTGAAGCATACAATTCTGTATTGTTTGTCCTAAAAATAATTATTGTGACTTCACATGCCATTTGTAGACTGTACCTACCATACCTATAGCTTAAATTACCAAATTTTAAATCTGCCCAAGGACTTAAAGCTCTGAATACCTATCTCTATCTTTAATTTCCCCATGGAATAAAATCTAAACTCATTTGGTGAGTATACAAGCCCTTCATGATCCACTGGATTCTTGACTCTAGTTACACGTTAGAATCACCTGGAGAGTTTAAAAAGCAAACAAACAAAAAAAGCCCATGCCTGGGCCCTGCCCCAGTCCAACTGAAACCAAAGTTCTGAAAGTTCGGCCCAGGCACTGATATATCTTATAAGTCATCCAGATGCAAAATGAGGGTTAAAAACTCTGATGGGAGAATATCCTTGCCTATCTTTCCAGTTTCATTTCCCATAACCTTCCACCTTCCTCACATTTTTATACTTCATCAGTACTAAGGACTTAAGAACACGGGCTCTGGAGACTGACTATTTAAATCCCACATGTATCATTTACTAGCATGGCAATCTGGTGCTATTGTAGGGTACAAGCCGATAGTTCTACCTACCTAAAAGCCTCCAAGGGCAGCAGTGATTTGCATGTCAGAGGGAGTACTAATGTTCAAAATGACTTAAGTCTTCATGAAAAGGATAGACTGTGTTGAATTTACCCTAAGAATGTTATACATATCAGTAAGATGTCCATTAATTGGCTAATGGAAATAATAAAGTTTTAACTATCAAACGACAATCTCCAGTTGTTTAGGGAAACCTTAGCATGCGAAGCACCTTATTTCCTGACAATGTTGTTTCTAGATAATTTGGAAAACATGAATTTCCAAATGATAGCAGGATGCACAAACATACTCTTATAGGTAAGAAGTATCCTAGTCATTAAAAATCCTCCCTAAGTAAAACGAAGACCACAACAAAGAAAGTATAACTATTTGCTTTAGATGACACTATTTCTAACTGACATTCTTCATTCTCCCTTGGGAAAAGTGGGCATCACTTCCACTCATCAGGCATAGTAAGATTCCAACCCTGAACCCTAGATCTCTTGTTCAAGACAGGAGAGGAGTCAGAAAGAGCAACTCTGTCATCTTTGAAGTAACTTCTAGAGCCTTAAAATAAGCGATCTAGCTCTCTTGCAAGCCTCCCTTCCTCTCTGTCATCATTCAAAACTGCCCTACTTTTGGTCATCATAGTGTTGGGCTGGAGCTATAGCAATGGTCTTCAAAGTGGTCCTCTTTCTCCTGTCTCTCCAATCCAGATTACATCTGGTTTACGATGCACATGTTAGTTACTACTCAAAAACCAAAAAAAAAAAAAAAAAAAAAAAGGAAAAAGAAAAAGAAAAACGTTCTTAGGCTCTCTGCAATTTTGTTCCAGACCACCTTGTTAGCATTATTCCTCTACCAGACACTCAGTCGGGTAGACCCACCCACATCCTCCTATCATGATCTGTACTTTTCCACATTATTCCTGTTTGGACTTCATCGTTCACCTTTATTGAGCATTTCCTACATATAAGTTGCTGAGGATACACAGAAGGAGCTTCAGACAAGTGGTAATATAGTATGCCAAATGTTATGATAGATATGCACAAGGTGCATCACCTAACTCAAACATGTGGGAGGGTATCAAGAAAGGCTTCCTGAAGGAGGAGACAGCTTGAGTCTTGAAGAATAGCTATAAGTTGGTTTGGTAGAAGAGTGGAGAAGGTGTGGTGACAGGTGGTGTGTTATGAGTACAACAGGGTCACAATGTGTGTGTGTGTCTATACAGCAGTGGGGTAGGGGTGGTTGGGAGAATGTTGAGCATTATTAGCGAAGAACAAATATATCATGGGTTGATAGGACAGGGAAGGAAAGAAGCATTGGGGAAAAAAAATGGGTTGAATGACTAGAAATTCCAATGTAAGCAAAGTATAGAATAGTGGGAGAGAGCTAGAAGACAGGGGAGTGTGAGGAACATACTTCCTGATGCTCTCTGCCCGGTGAAATGCAACCCATTCTTTACCACCCAGTTCAAATTCCAGCCACTCTGCTACCACCAGGGCCTGAAGAGACAGATTTCTCCCTCCTCAGACCATGATCTCTGATATGGTACACGATCATTCACTGTTTCAAACCAACAGCTATCTTTTTATGAGTACTCAACTGTAAGGGATCTCAGGGATCCTCATAGAATCCAGAGCCAGGCCTTACACAGTGAAACTTAAAAATTTACTGGCTTCTTAACAGGACCCACAAAGCTCGCATGTTCTGGCCTCTGACCACCGTCTTTCTCCTACCCTGCCTATCTCTCCATGCTCCAGCCATCTTGGTCTTTCAAACCCATGAATTTCTTTTCCACTTATTTATTTTTTTTTGAGGAAGATGAGCCCTGAGCTAACATCCACCACCAGTCTTCCTCTTTTTGCTGAGGAAGATTGGTCCTGAGCTAACATCTGTGGCCATCTTCCTCTATTTTATATGGGGGATGCCTGCCACAGCATGGCTTGCTAAGCAGTGCCTAGGTCTGTGTCCAGGATCTGAACCAGCAAACCCCAGGCTGCCAGAGTGGAGCGTGCGAACTTAACCACTATGCCACCAGGCCAGCCCCTTTGCCACTTGTTTTTGCTCTTTTGGCCTGTAATGCTTTTCCCTCTAGTATTCACTTGGCTAATTTCTACTCCACTTTTAGGATTCAGTTCCCACGTTACTTCCTCAAAAAGCCCTTCTCTGACTATCCTCTCACCCCATATACAATCTGTCATGGTATATTTATTTGTGTATTTATTTGTTTAATGCCTCTGCCACCAGACAGCTCCACGAAAGCAAGGATCATGTCTGCTGTATTCACTATACTTAGTGCTTTGCAGTGCCTGGCACATAAGTACTCAATATATATGTACTGAATGATTAATGATTCTCAGGTCTCCAGGGAAGCCATATGACCAAGTGTCAACACTAACCACAATCCTGTTGGTGTTGAGGGTCCTGACATTCACCCTTATGCTGGATTTCCATGGGTTGAGGCTGGAGATATGTTGCTTCCTTAGCTGGATCCAGAGGCACCGATGTCTCAGAAAGTACTTCATGTGCACAGGCCTGGGTTGAAACCTGAGGACAAGCAGGCTCATTTGGGCATCTGAAGGGACCACAGTGTACATGATTCCCAGAGAGCCCACAAAGGATCAGCCTACATGCCCACTCCCAACCATCCTCCCATTGAGCATAGGGACCTTTCTTACCTTCTGGCCTGGTTCATCCAGCTCCCTCTCCAGATCTTCCAGCATAGCCACTGCCTCCTCCCCGCTCTCTGGTTGATGCTCTTGCATCCAGGCCTGGAGCTCCTCAGGCAGGATGGTCAAGAACTGCTCCAGCACCAGCAAGTCCAACATCTGCTCCTTGGTGTGTATCTCAGGCCTCAACCACTCACAGCAGAACACCCAGAGTTGGCTAAAGGCCTCACGGGGCCCGGGAGTCCCCTTGTAGCAGAACTGTCGGAAGCGCTGGCGGGATAACTCCTGGTTGTTTGGGCTGCTCCCTTGTGGGCCAGATCCCTGACCCCTGACAGGGCTTTTTTTGTTGCTTACTTCTAAGAGCCTTTTTGGCTCTTCAGGAGCCCGTGGAAGGAAGACAGCAGCCATTCCAGCTCCAATTAGCAGAGAAGAGGATGTCTGCTACAAGTGTTATCTTTAGGGCACCCTCCTAAGGTTACAGAAACCATAGTTAAAAAGATATATATATATACGAAGGCTGATTAAATACTCGAGCTCACTCACTAAGTCTAATGTTTCTGTTTTAGAAGAGGAAGCTCAAGCCAAAATTAAAAAGAATTCAATAAAGAAAATTTAAAAAGTAAAAGTTTAAGGCAATTCAAACCTTTTTCCAAGTAGGAGAAGGAATGTTTGTCAAGAAACATCATTTTTTACAAGACTGAGAATATTGTTGGATGCTTGCTTCCCCCAAATAACACCAGAACAATCAGTTGCTGAGCCCAAGCTGAGTTTATTCTTATGAGCCACAGAGTGCACTACCTTGACAGAGTTCTTAGTAGTATCTCCCAGGGAAGGCAAAGTCAGAATATTTATGAGGTTTGGGGGCTTTAAGGCAGTTCTTTCAAAGCAGAATAAGGATTGGACAAGGATCATGATCAATAGTTCAGGATTGATGGACTCAGCAAGGTAAGGTTTTGAGTTGAGGGTTTCAAAAATCTGGATCCTATCCATTGATAGTCGAAGAGTTTGATGTGCACCTAAATGCACTGAGGGGTAAGATCTTGAAACAAATATAATTATTTGCAACTTTTATCTTCCAGGGCAAGAATTTCCTGGAATAGTAAAGTCATGCTGATAAAGACAGTGGAATACTAGTGCCACATTTAGGGAGGACAAGTGAATAGTAAAAACATCTTAATGAAGGTAGTAGGCTATGTGGGTATTGATGGATTCAGTTTTCCATGTAACAGCAGACTGAAGCAGGGCCTATCAGTTTAAGGAAAGACCAACTGATTAGCATGGTGGGCAGTGATTTAAGGGCTTAGCTGTGGATTTCAGAAGACCTGGCCTTGAATCCTGTTATGTTCTCTTACGTGTGGTGGCTTAATCTCTCTAAACTTCTATTTCCTCCTCTGTAAAATATCTTATAGTTTTTTTTTAACGTTTTATTTTGAAATAATCTTAAACTCACAGAAAATTTCCAAGAAAGGTACAGAACAGTCTCTATACCCTTCACCCAGCTTCCCCTCACATTAACATCTTACATAACCACAGCACGATTACAAAACCAGAAAAACAATATTGTTATAATGCAATTAAACTACTGGCATTTATTATGGAGGGCTGTTTTGGGAATAACTACAGAAAGCATTAAATTCAGTGCCTAGTACTTAGTAACACCGCAGTAAAAGGCTGCAGTTACCGCTGTGACCTGGTCATCTAGGCGCCGGCTCGAGAGCCAACGCCCAGCGCTCAGGCACACTGGCTCGTTTTCTGGGCACAGAATTTAGAACCACGCAGAGAGGCCCTCTAGTGCCTTCTCTGCGCCTAGCATGTTACTCACTGGGCATCTCTCAAAAACACCTTCACTTCCCCAGCCCTAAATATTCATTTAGGGGATTCTACAGTGGGCTTGGAGAAAGACTATTTTAGGAATCACTCAAGATAAAGGACATGGGGCCGCTTCTACATGTTGTCTTCCACTAGTTTGGATCTTCGAAGGAATAAGACAACATAGTGAGTTAACCTGCTGGACTTCCAACACCTTTCCCTTTTACCCTGTAACATAAACCGAACTGGCACATCATCCAGGACCCACCACAACGAGCCCAAGACTCGGGAAGGTTTGGCTGTGTGTGTCCCTTAAGCCACAAGGACCTGACAGATCACAAAGGTTTCTGGGAGCTGCCGGCCGCGTTGGACAAACGGGTGGTCCGCACAGACCCACCCGGGTCAGCACCCGTGGCCCAAGAGTCCGGGTCTTCGAAACGTCCTGGCGCGCCAGTCGGAGCTGGGGCGGCGAGGGGGCCCCGCGGAGCCCGGCACGGTCGCCGCCCAGTCCCGCTCCTGAGGGCTTCCCGCCGGCGCTTCCAGCACGGGCCAAACAAGGAGGTGGCGCCTCCCACCCGCGTCTAGCCCACTACGGGGTCCCAGGCAGCGGCGCCCCGCTCTCTTCCCGCCGGTCTTACCCAGGCCCGGGGGAGGCGGCCGCCCGACCCCGACCGGCCCCTTGGCGCCCCAGCCCGGCCGCCGGCGGAAGTGCGTCCGCGGACCCGCCCGGGCCCCGCGCCGGAGCTTCCGGCGGTTTCGGACAGATCCGCGCGGTTTAGCGTGTCCAGGAGAGCTGCGCCTGCCGCCGACTCTGCAAGCCGGGACGCCCAGGCCTATGCGGTTTTGATTTATAGCTCGTCTCCTCTTAAAAAGAGAAGCCGAGCGCCGGCTCCGCCGCGTTGAGTCCCTCCGCCCTCCTCGGCGCGGGGCGGCGGGCCGCGTCCTTCCTAGATGCGCCTCCCCTCCGAGCGTCCCTTCCCCCGGCCCGTTCACCGACCCCAAGTCATCTCTCCCTCCCTGCCAACCCTCCTCCTTGGCCAGCATCCTCGCCCTGCCATCGCAGCCTTCCGCAACGTGAATATATTTACCAGGCAGGCACATCGCTCAACCGGAGTATGTCCGCAGGGTTCCCATCAGTATAGTCGCGCAGTCCTGATCATAAATGACCCACAAGGAGAGGAAGGGAAAGGAGGTTAAGGCACGCTCTGATGAACGCTGGGCTGTGTATTCCACTTACAACCCGGAAACACGCAAAAAGCTTAAGTGACCTGCCCAAGTCCGCACAGCCCAGGGACAGGATGCACCCCACGCAGGTGTGATCAACACCTACCCCGGGATCCCTACAGCGTAGCCACGCTCAGCGCCACACAGCCGGAGACCACCAGTGCTCAAGTTAAAATGGCAGTTTCCGGGCTTATTGTGTTGTATTGACATTTTAAAATGAAACTGCTACATGCCTCTTTTAAATGTATTCCATTGATTTTAAATACCGCCCAGCAGGTGTGTTGCTAGGAGCTGCTCACAACTAGCGTGTGTGCTAGGAATAGAGGGAAAGTATTGAGATGGTTCTTGGCCTAAGGAGCCTACAGTCCAGTTGAGGAAACGGGAGCGAGTGTTTAGAAGCTTGTGTATGCAGTTGGGTAAACTTGTATTGGAATCCTGAGTTCTTCAATTATTAGCTAAACTTTTCTAAAGCAATTTCCTTTACAAATTGGAGATAATATCAGCACTTTATAGCAGTATCGTGATGAATTAGGAAATATCACATAGCTGTTAGAACACAACACTTAGTAATTTGATATTTTCAAGTTATACAATAAAAATTACGATAGAAATTGATGAGGACTTTTAGGCTGGTTAATTTTAAAACTACAAATGAGAAGCAGGCTCAGAGGAGTGGAATTTGCTTGTCCTTTTGTTGGGAAACATTTACATTTCTAAGGGAAAACTCTACCTGTGAAGATGCCTCCCTCTCTGTGCCAGGAATAAGAGGGATGGCCTTATCTCTAGAAACTATTAATCAATGCCAGAGGCAAGAATTTAAGTTGTTTACTGTCTGGCAACCTCATGTAAGTGAGCCCTCCCCCCCCCCAAATCCTCCTTTGTCTTTAGCTGAGGATAATATTTAAGCGGTGACTTCTGCCATTTACTCAATCCGGTTTGATTCTTATCTAAAAGTTGTGGGACCGCCAAATGGCCGGACCCTACAGGCACTGATACCATTTTAACTTTTTTACATATTCTTTCCTTTGTCTTGTAAAGAGATAACTCACACACCTATGCCTTAAATTTAGCCTTACTCTCCACCCAACTTCGCAGAAGAAGCGGCAGCAGCAACATGTCGGCAGCAGCTCTGCCTGCCCACGGGTTCTGTCCCCATGCCAGCGGCAGCAGCAGCAGCTCCCCATGCCAGCAGCATCTCTGACTGCCCATGGGTCCTGTCCCCATGCTATTCTATTCTCTAAATAAAAGAGCTCTACTGCCAGATCTTAAGAGTCTAAGAAATCTTTCTTTTGACTCATCGGCTCACCGACCCCGCATCAGAAATCACTTGGTAACTTGATTTCTTACCTCTAGGCAAGAATGCTTATTGCATTGTTCCAGGCATTGAATGAGCTCAGTGTGGCTACAGACTCTACATTTTTGTATTCCTCCTCTATTGGATCTTACACAGAGGGGCACTTCATTTATTACTGTACTAACTGCTGAGCGAGAGGTATAGAGAACGAGTGTTTCAAAAGTTTCATGGCAAACAGCACAAAGGTTTTGTTTGTTTTCTTTAAGAAAACTGGAATCCCATGTAGAGAACAAAAGTCTTCTGGAAAAATTTATAAGCTGCAGCTTATAAAGGAAGCTTCCGTTCTGGGGACTTTTTAAGTTGGCAGGTGGAGTGGGAAACGGGGAACCACCGATATGCTTTGCTGACTTATGGAATGTAGGGCAGCAGAATCTACCACCCCAAAATGTGTCTCTTTGCTATGAGGATTATTTTAGGCTGGTTACTTTTTAAGAAACAGCAGGCATGAGAGAAGCTCTGAAAACCAAGGGCTGCTTACCTTTTGTGAGAAATATTTACATGTATAAGGGAAATCTCCATCTGTAAGGATGTCTCCAAGGCTGTACCAGAAAGAGCGGCAGGACTCAATCTCTGGAAACTCATTATTGGAGAAGGCAACACTTAAATCTGCATAACAATTTTATCTTTGTTTACTGTGCTTTTCCTGGTAACCTCCCATAGCTGACTCCCCACCCCCAACATCTTCTTTTGTCTTTCACTGTAGGTGGTATTGAAGGTGATGGTTTCTGAAATCTCAGAGAGTTACTCAGTTTTCCTGGATTTCTTCCATGTATATAGGATGTATACACATTATTAAACTTTTGTTTTTCTCCTGTTAATCTTTCTTATGTCAATTTAATTATTAGGCCAGCCAAAGAACCTAGAAGGGAAGAAGGGAAGATTTTTCTGCCTCAGCAAGGACTTGCAGAGAACCTAAAAAGGGGAATAAATAAATATGACTTAGAAGTTGAAGAGGCAAACATAGATGGACTGTGACAAAGCAGATTACCTTTGTAGGAGCAGAGATACTATATGGAAAAGGTGGTTGTGACCAGACTGAAATTAGACTGAGGGGAGACCGGTGAGGCTGGTGCTGAGGCTCTTGCAGAGTTGAAGTGTGTGAGCATGAGCACCTGCCCTGATGGGGCAGGAGCCCAGGTTAGAGAAGGAAAGATAGTACCTCTCCTTCCCTGGCTTTCTCTCTTCCAGCTCCTCTTAATCCTCTGTGCCTTACTCAGCCCCTTGCTCCAAAACAGATGCCCCCTTTAGCTGGCGTTTGACTGGTTTTTCTTTGTTCTTTTTAAAATGTGTTTTCTTTCTTACCTGGTAAACAGGCTTTCTTTCCCTGGGGCAGATGTATTTATTATTTCTGGAATATTATCAGCATCTAGATGGCAGGGCTCTGCCTTATCTTTCTTTGTATTATCTGCTGAATCTGTATGTAAATGTTTAATGAATATATTTTTAGTTGGTTGATTGATATTGTCAGGGAGGAGGAAATCTCTCCTTCTACCCTTCTTGTGTTCTAATGGCCAGACTAATAATAAAATTGAAGCAACACTGGATTAACAGGAGAAAACCCCAATTCAATATGTACATATTCGAGATTATAGAGAAATGATGCTCTGAGAGTGAACAAAACAGGCAGTATATATATCTTTTACATAAAGAAACAATATATTTGTGAGGAATGACAGGACAAAGAAGCTTAAGTTTGAGGCACATAATTAGTGAGGAATTTGAACAGAGTTTAGGTGTGAGGTAGTGCGTTAACCTGGTTTGTTTCTACAAGCTTTTTGGCCCTGAATTCCCTAGCTCTGGTGATAAGGATGCAGGGAGAGCGTCTTTCACATGGGAGATTTATTTCCTGCTTTCAGGGGGAACAGAGGAGAGTCAGGATGCCCTTTTTGCTTCTCAAGTAACTTTAGTTCAAAATCATCAATCTGCCATTGTGGGATAATTTGGGGTAGCCTGCCCTGAGCCCCAACAATAGTAAAGCCTGAGAACTTTAAGGAACTTGTGGCAGAAAAAGGGATCATCTGCATAGCTTGGACAAAAGCATTACCTAAGCCTTATTGAGAACAAGACTTTATTTTGTGGTGTTATAATGAAGTCTTCGATAAAACAAGGATTTGTGTTGGGGCTGCCTTGTGGTTAAACTCTCTCTCTGCTGCCATCTCATGGTCTCAGAGTTTGGCTTTCCAGGTGACAGGCAAAAACGAAGCTGGTTTGGTAACATTCTGCTTCATGACAATTGTATCAGGGAAATGTCATGTTTTTCCTGCTTTAGGAATTCTCCCAAAAGATTCAGAGGAATCTGTCTGAACCATAGCACTGTTCAAGATCAGGATGGCTAAGGAAATAAAGGATTTAGTCAACTTGATTCCTTAGGCACAGTCTCCAAAAGACAAATAACCTCTCTTAGTAAAAGAATAAGACCAAACTAGGGTGCAAGAATCCTGGCAGCAATGGAATAAGGCTGTGGACCAGCAGTTTTGCCAGTGCTTTAGGTAGTTCCATTATCAGGAAACAAATGCCTAGGCCCCACAAATCTCTGAGCCACCTCCAGGTGCTTTGATGTTAGTGTCTGAGGTCCAAGATAGACATCAGGCACCAGATTCTAGAACTGCTGGTGCTGAAGTAGTTCTTGACCATCTTACCCAAAGAGCTCTAGGCCTGTGTGTGGGAGAAGCCTCCATAATGTGGAGAGGAAGTGACCACACTAGGAAGTTTTAGAGAAAGAATTTGATGATCTAGGACAGCAGGTGAGAAGGAGAGTTATAATCTGGGTAGCACAGTTGAGAATGGCAAGGAGGAGACATGGATGTACAATTACACTAAGTAGATTGTTGCTGAACTAAAGTCTTCCTGTAGTTCCATGTTTGTCCCTCTCTTACTCCTTGCTACATTCTTTCCTAGACTTGAGGAATAGATGAATTTCTAGTTCCTAAGTCTCCTGTTATATGCCCATTAGTCATACTGCTTGTGATGTATTTTCTGAAGTTTTAGTTCTAATTCCCAGTGTGTTTCCCTCACTGGCTCAACCGTATCTAATTTTCTCCAGGTTCTAGCTTGTTGCTGGAATGTTCTGGTTTAGGGTGTCTCAAGAGGTAGCAGTCAAGACGTTGGCTAGGCTGCAGTCATCTGAAGAAAGATGAAGATCTACTTTCAAGTTGGCTCGCTCCTGTGGCTATGGACAGGATGCCTCAGTTCCTTGACACGTGGACCTCTCCACAGGGCTGCCTGAGTGTCCTCATGCTACCAAACCAAAATGAATTCACTCCCTGGTGAGTTAAAATCAGACTCTCCACCAGAAGTACTGTCACACATAGCAAAGTATTCTTGCAGCAAATAGGAGACCACGCAGAATCATTTCCAAAGTTGTGGCACTCCCCAAACAAAAGGAGGCAGGTCCTTTTATTTTGGGTGGGGAATGAATATTTAAAAAGGAAGTTTTATCATCACGGGTAGAGGCAGGTATTATCGGGCACAGGCACAGTCTGAAACCATGCTGTCACATACATAACACGCTATTCTAATAAGCCCTAGGCTCTTCCTAGGGCAGAGATCATAGTCTTTAGATGTAAAAAAAGGGCATTTTCTGGTCATCTTCAGGTCAACTGTACAGCCACTGCCATTACAGTGGGGCTTGATCTGGTTCAGGCCAGTTGACGCTGGTACCTCTTCCCGACATAGCTCTGAAAAACAACCTTGAGGGAGTGTTAGACACCTTTAAATTTTGTTCAGGCTGCTTAGGAAATGCACTGGTGACACTCGCAGCACAGTTGCTGGTTTCTTCCAAAATGAGTGATCCAGGAAAGAGACCAAGTTGGCTGTAATGCTTTTTATGACCTAGTTTCATACCATCACTCCCGCCATATTCTATTTTTTAGAAGGGTGTCACTAGGTCCAGCCAACACTCAAGGGGAGGGAAATTAGGCCCCACCTGTGGATGGAGTTGTGTCAAAGAATTTGTGCTTATATTTTAAACCACCACAGGCAAGTTACTTATCTTCTATGTGCTTCAGTCTCTTCACCTGTGAAAGGGGGATGAAAATAGCATCTTACAGGAATGAGTTGTGAGGTTAAGTGAGGATGATATCTTTGAAAAGTGTTTTATACTGTGGGGACCTGAAATTGGCCACC